GACACATTCATGCAGTCACCACAGCGAGGTGTAACTCATAATTGAGTTACACAATTACAAATTAAATTAGGAAACAAAAACTGTTCTGTAATTAAACGGAGTTCCGTCGGGAAAGTCGTTCTCAAGATTGGTGTAATGCATCGCGAATGTATAATCAATGTGTGATTTTCCATAAATTCTAATTCTCGGATGATGTAATTCCATTTTTCTAATTCAAATGCAGAAGAAATTTCCTCATGCACTCCATTGCTTGACCCAAATATATAAATTGCCTAGTTTGGTTCCTTGAGTGCTGTCGAGGAGCCCATGTTTGATATCGTTGGCAAGATACATATGCTTGTGACCGCCCGCAATTAACTCTGTCAAATGTTCCCTTTATTGAACGCCTCGGAATGTTTTTTATCTAGAATGTAATTCCCCAAAACATTGGAATCTTTCCATTTGATCTGTGTCAGAATCTTTGCGAAATATTCAAGCAATTCAATTCTCGTATATCTGTGTAAATGTGGCTCATGGAGCTACTACATAATCAAGCCAAAATCACGTAAATATTCCTTGTAAATATTTTCTGTCCATCTCCATCCATTCTGACCATTACACCAATACAATGGAATGTTTCACAATGCTCCGGCCATAATTACGACTCATGGATTGATAGACATTTTGTCAGATTGACCCAACTCGCCGGATTCAAATGGTGGGTCTTCCCCAAGAGAATGCACAACGACATAATATAATTGAATGAAGGGGCGAGTGTGCACGCATGGCGGTTGTTCGGTATCTTATGCTCTGTTATGAGCATAACATCAAGAAACAGGCGTATACAGATAATATGATAAATGTCACGTCAACTGCTTCGAACTGGTCCAAAGTCAATATATCGGGAGTATATCGGCATTATCATTATCTTATCGACTAAGTATTGCCCTTGAACATTGAGCTCCCGATTTATTTGGTGTGTAGGAGGAGAAGAGCCACTAACACATTATTAAGGCTATTCTCCATAGATTCTTGCTTATTTGTGTTACAGCACGAAACGATCGACATATATTATTTACGTAGACTCGTTGAAATCGAAAGCGAAAGCATCAAGAAAACGATGAAGCACTCTTTCAACCATGGCAGTACACAGTATTTCAGCACAATTTCAGTCAGATGTGAATTCCTTTACTTGACCTCAACCAGACTTCTTTACATCAAAATAAATAAATTCACACGGCGTTGCACATCTGTGAAAACAAACGTTGTGTTCGGTTACAAATATTTGAACATCTGCTTCAAAGTTTTGTTTTTTCGATCCGAATTGAAACACACGGTGTATATACATGTGTGCAGAAATATGCATACATATATGTATATTCGGCAGAGTTCATTCAGCTGCGGCATTCGTGTTATTTTTGGCAAAAGGAACAAGTCCGAAACACTTTTGCCAGTGTGCATTGATTTGCTTTTGAGTTTTGAAATTGCTTTGAAATTCATGTACACAAGAGGTACGAAGCTGATCCTGGCGATAATCGCACAAATTTTTTTATAGGGAAGGATACTCCACTTTTATCGCAAGATGACGGACCAAACCGCTTAGTCCAGAGCAGTTGGCCCAGGAGTTGTTCCCTTATAGTTCCCGATGCCACAAAATAAGGACATTTGTTGACCAATGTAACGTGATAGACTGGCTATGCTGTTCTGTTGTGGTCCGTCAATGGTAACGTAACACATTTGAAGAGTGCCACTTTTGGAAACACAAAAGGGTGCCTTGTCAACGCTCCTGTCAAGGGGCGAGGGTTGTAACCCAGCTACAGATGCTATACTTGCTTTGTCGTTATAAGTACGTAGCCATCCTGATCACCTCCTGGTAGATAGCTAAACCCCTTAACAGTCTAGAGGGAGATGTGCAGAAATGTAAGAGAGAGAGAGAGAGAGAGAGAGCTTCCAACACAACAGTCTATCCAGCAGGACTGAATGGTATTCACTCGATGGAGAGATGCAGCAGAAAGAGCAGCTACCGCACAACCAAAACAACCATCAACGAGAATTCGCCCATGCCAAAAATATTAGTTTCGAATTGCGTCAAATTAAAAATGTCCAGCACGTTTCTGATAATCACGTTTTTCAGCATTTGATATTTTGTGCTTTAATTTATGAGTAGTGTTGTTATTTTGTGTAGATGTTTTCTTCGTTTCGCTTGACATCTTATGAACAGAGAGCACAACAACAACGTCCAAATAAAGAAAAACAACGTCGGAGTAACCGCGCTAATAACCATATTTTAGACAGTTTGTGGACTAGCAGCTAGGCGCGTTTGATTTCATAGCCCGTTTGCCCGCGCGTTCTTTGTGTGGCTGGCATTTTAAAGTGTTTCCTAAACTGAACCGGCTTCTTCGTTTTTCTCCCTCGTACATGGCCAGTATGTAGGGGTGTATATAAATATGCATGTTGTTTTCAAATTCCATGATTCTATAATATGGAACATGTCTAAAATAATAATTAAGCTTCGCAAATCGCTTTGTATTTTATTCGTAATTAATATCGCTTCTATATGCACATACACATACACACACCGCATACGAGTTCGTACCCAGTAAACAATTTTTGCCGAATTCGGTCCGATTTCTGTCAGAATCTCTGAAAAAATGTCCGATTCTGATTCCGAATTCCTTCCGATTTCGGTACGAAAGTTGTATGGACGTGGTCACCGAATTCGGAAAGATTTTCTGAAAAAAATCTGAAAAAATATTAGATTTTCTGGACGAATTCGGTCCGAATTCGGTGAAAATTCTTGAAAAAATAGGAGAAAAAATTAGATTTTCGGAAAAGATTCGGAGGACAACTCCGAATTTCTGAAAGAAATCGGGCAGAATTCGTCTGGAAATTCGGCGGAATATTCAGATTTTCTGAAAGAAATCGGTCAGAATTCGAAAGAAAATTCGGAATAAAATTCAGATTTTCTGAAAAAAAAACGCTCAGAATTCGGGAGAAAGTTCCGATTTTCTGAAAGAAATCGTTCAGAATTCGGAAGAAATATCGAAAAAATCGTCACACCACTTAAAAATGAAAAAAAAAAAACACATATTTATTTAAAAAACAAACAATTTATTTCGGGTTTCCTAAAAATGTAGTTTAAATATTACATCTATAATACATTTACATTATAAATATTTTTTTTATTAGGAACATAACATACAGTAGCACGTTTCTGTTTCAACTGCTAAACAAGAACTAAAAATAAAAAGCAGTGCACACAGAAAACCGGTATGTAGTTGTTTTTCCAATTTTTTTCCATCATATTTTTTTGGGAACGAAAGAGAAAGAGGCTGATTCACAACAACAACAAAACGCACATTTTTACAACGGAAAATCTAACAGTTCACAATAACAATAACAAATAGCATTTTTGCTTTGCGCTTTGTTGTTGTTGAGATCTTGAAATGAATGATCACAACAACAACTACTATGGGAGAGAATGTGTCAAACCACCACCATCCGTTTACATGTGGGAGAGAATATGCCAGAGCAATAGACAATCTACTCTCTCCGTTTGTACATTTTTCGAGTTTTTTTCGCTTAAAAACACAGGAAAATGTGCAGAAATTCTAAAAAAAATGTTTAGAAAATCGGACCAATTTCTATCAGAAATTTCTGAAAAAAACGTCAGAAATTTCGGAAAAAAATCTAAAATCAGAGCAGTCGGAAAAAATTGTTTACTGGGTAGATTCGTGTGGAGGTAGCTATGTGTGTGCACGCTCTAAGATTGTTAATTTCATTTTATTTGGCGATTCTCAATCTGGAAACGCCAAATTGCCAAAGTCGACCGTTTATTCGGTCGCGAACATGTTCATTATACTCCCAGCAATAGGGCTAGAGAGGAGGGTATATATCATTTGATACGGCCAAAACGTACCTAGTCGAAATAACAGTTTTAGACCCTAGGTCTCTTTGGACCAAATACGTTTCAGGACATTTGGAGTCGATTTAGCGATGTCCGTCCGTCAGTCTGTCTGGTTGGATGGCTGGTGCGCACGTTAACTCTCGAACATCAGACTAAGGTCAGCAACGAAATGGACAATATTGTTCTACTGCATCGGTAGCTCTCTTATCGAGGGTCAAAACATGTCAAAATATATTTGAATAAACGGATAAAGGCTGAGGGTATCAATATGTCGACAAAACCGTCTGATACTCTTTAACTTGTTTTAATTGATATCCGATATCTGGCAGTGAAATATTCTGGCACCTAATCCAAACAGGATGATGAAGTGTGTCGTCGCTGTAGTGGGTCAGTTAGTCGACTCCGTCTACCACAGCCCTGTTTCTCTACGTGCAGAACGTTGGCCGCGGAGAAATGATAAACAAAAAGTAATAATAAACAAACAATACACAAAGACGCATATTCTTGGCTAAACATTTCGACCGCAAATAAACACATCAGCCTCCTGTCGACACCCACTCCCCCGGTCACAGGGCTCTTGACAATGCCGTATGCAATACATACGGTTGGGGACAATTTTGGCTCTCGTCGCGATCGCTGCATGCCGTGCCGGAACGGGGCAGCAGCGGCAACTGCGAGTAAGGTGGGGCCGAGCAGCAAGTCGTGTGTTATGCAGTCTAGTCGTTTTTTCGTTTTCTGGCTAACAGAGTCCGAAAAACACATTCGCAAACAAAAGAGACAATATTTGTGGCGTGTGTGTCTTCGTTGATGCGATTTCTATTCAGGTGGGGATTCTTGAAAAGCAGGACATGTCGAGAGCTGGTTGTAGGTACAGCTGAATTTGCACAGTCTCCCTCAATCACTTCCTACCGCAAAATGAAGCCAAGACCAAAATTACATTCATTATTTACGAACTCTTCAAATCTTATCAGTGCAGCATGAAGAAAACGGGTAGAATAAAAATACAATAAACCTTTACTGCCAAAGAGGCACTAAAAGAACTTTTGATAAGAAATCGAGAAAGACCCGGCCCGCCATGAATTAAAATATTTTTTTTTATTTACTGACTTTTTAGAACTCTGACGATATTTGAGGTGAAAAGTTGACGAAAATTCATCGCGGTGCTCAAGTTTTGGAAAGTCTTGCTGGTCAAAGACGCAGAGAAAAACAACAACAATTAAAAAACCGCAAAACAAAAGATCTCGGGAAAAGACCAATGATCGCCTGCATGCGCTTACGAAAGCAGCAAATGATTCCGACGCTTATCATTGTATAGGGAGCAGCGACAACTGGGTTGGCACACATATCACATCAAAATCATCAAAACAGTGAAAAAAGGAGGAAAGAGCCGAAAGTCGCTGGCAAATTGCACTACAACAGTTCGCTGAAAATGGATACACGCGAAGTGTTACTTCTACTGGTGTGTTTATCCTTGCAGAGTGACATACGTTCATCCTACACAGCAAGTAGGTCCCAAATGGTGTACGCAATGTCGACCGCTAACCAGGAACTGGAACGATATTTCCGATCAGTAAACACCACCCAAACTATGGCTGCCGAAGAACGCATAGCCGTAGACATCTACACATATGCCTTCCTCAACTACAGCTACGTAGATAGCCATGTCAAGTTCAGCGAGGAGAAAGCCCGCTACGGCGAAGGTAGGATCCTTAATGTGCACGGCAAGCTGGTGCATATCAGCGACGCTGAGGATATAAAAGATGACACTGCCTGCTCCAGCAATATTCTGGGCACCAATGGCCAGCCAACGCCAGCTGAGGGCATTTCGTGGATCGCCTTAGTCCGTCGCGGTCGTTGCACTTTCGAGGAGAAGGTGAAAAATGTCTACAGCAAAAGGGCATCAGGGATCATCATTTACAACGACAAGCCCGTCATGAACTTGGAAAAGATGCAAATCAAGGACAAATCGCGTGAGTAGTATTCCGATCTGTTCTGTTCTCGTTGCACACGGTGCATGGGAAACTACGCATTTCGCAATGTCAATTAAATGTCAACCGTTTGTATTTTAGGTAATATAACCGCTGTGATAACTTATCAAGACATTGGCCAAGATATGGCCATGAGATTGGATCAGGGTCTGGATGTCACAGCTCACATTATTGAAGGCAGGAGCGGAATGAGACCCATAAACAGTCTCAACAGGTGAGTGATACATTTCAGACGCATTCTGGACAAATCTCAAAAGAAGGTGACTGGAGTTCCGTTGGGGGACCGCATGTTCCCAAAATTAGAAATATATTTACATGAAACGGCATGTCATCCACCAGACCACGCTGATTGAATGTCCCATTTGGAACGATTGCGATTATAAATACAAAGCTAATGCGTCACAGGTCATTGAACTTGCTCGTATTCGACAATCACCATCAACAGGCCAGGCAGATGTTGCAGTTCTGTGCCGGTGATGAGAACAAATATATAAATGCTCATAAACATGCATTCCCACATTGCTGATATGAATGAAAACAAATTTTATTTTAAACAACAATTGCGATAAGGGAATTTTCGGACGTCTATCCCACTAGTCAATACTGGATGTACAGCCAGGGAGGGACGGAAGATTTGACACCGAAGATCATCACTGAATACAAAATTCGATAGCATTTAAGGCTGTCTAAAATTAGTAATTTGTCCGTGTATCCCACCAGTCAATACTGGATGTACGGCCAGAGAGGGACGGAAGATCTGACACCGAAGATCATTACTGAATACAAAATTCGATAGCATTTAAGGCTGTCTAAAATTAGTTAATGTCCATAATAATTGGTTATCGATCGCCGAGGGGGTTTTTACACACTATCCAAAAACCTACACCACTCGGGAGAAACGGATATTGTTATCGGCTTTGTGAAACCGGATGAGCTAAATAAATTCCGAGTCCTAAATACCGGACCGTTTTAAAATAATTTCTTCCGCACATTATTCTATTTGATCTCATGATCAAATGTTATATATTGCAGCCACAGAAATAGAGATATGGTATTTTAATTGGGTTTGATTGACTTTGGTTGAAACGAGCTACCGACATATTATTCTGCACACAGAAAACTGCACACGAAAATTACTTCGATTAATGTCTGATTGTCGTCAATCAATGGCACTTAAATGCATTTGTATTTTCAGAACATCTGTCCTGTTCGTGGCGATATCCTTTATTATTCTCATGGTCATATCTCTGGTCTGGTTAATTTTTTATTATATACAAAAATTCAGATACATGCAGTCCAAAGATCAACAGTCCGTGAGTATTTATTAGACTGTATATGGAAAATGACATCTTGACCGATTTCTTCTGTTGTGCAGCGCCATCTTTGCTCCGTTACCAAGAAGGCCATTATGAAAATACCCACAAAGACTGGCAAGAGTACTGATGAAAAAGACGCCGAGTCAGACTGCTGTGCCATATGCATCGAGGCGTACAAAGCTTCGGATCTCATACGTGTCCTGCCCTGCAAGTATGCTGCGTGTATTTCACCTGTGTATTTAACAAACTTCTAATTTTCGTTGAACTATTTACTTTCAAGGCACGAATTCCACAAAAACTGCATTGATCCATGGCTAATAGAACATCGTACATGTCCAATGTGCAAACTAGACGTTCTCAAATTCTACGGTTATGTGGTGGGTGATGAAATTCATACGACACCCTCGGTACAACAATTGCCAGCTAACAATGCCACCCCCTTAGACGACACTGAAGTGCCGGTTGTAGTTCTAGGAGTAGTGCCCCGCCAAAGCAACAGCCTATCGCAGTCATCACAGCATTACTCAACCCACCAACATCACACCACATCTTCATCCGCATCCGCATCACCTCCATCGCTGGCATCGTCGTTACCATCGGCGACAACAGTTCCACTTCCCCCCCTATCATCCTCATGTTTGCCCAATAGATTCAGTGCGAGTGTGGAGACCCAGACGACAGCGTCACTAGAACCGCACAGTAGTCACGAGTACGACCAGTCCTACTACCATCGGCAAGAGACAAGCGCCGCAATACCAGAAGCGGATGAAATCGATCATATAGCAAACTTTCAAGTGAGCACAGCCAGTCGCCAAGTGACCGATGTCTAACCCACCCAGCTGTGGAGCAGCAGAAACACTGAAGCGTCGGATGTCTGGGCCCATGCTAGTGCCAGAGCGCCATACGTATTTTTGTATTACTTGTAGTTGTCCCACTTCATTACAACAGCAACAACAACTTTATGTAAATAATTGTTCTTAATTTAATTGATTTTTCTTTTGTAGTTTAAACGCTTAAACTGATCCCAAAAATGAATACTTAAGAGTTCTAAGACTTGACATGAAAGTACTTATAAGTTTTATAGTTTTACGTTATTTTTAACTGATCCAACTGAAGTCCAGAGAAATCAAGAAAAAACTTTTGTACACCCTTCTCCCACCCCCTCCTCTAGTGCTAAGGCCATATTTTGTTAATCGCTTGGTTTAAGCTAGTGACGAGTATGACAATTTGTAGACTTTGTGCAAAAGCAGACGGTGACTTAAGGCTAGTCAAATTTTAAACAAACCTTCGAAATTGAATGTTGGAAGAAAACACTCAAAACCAATCTTGTATATAAACTTTAAACTAACACGATTTTAGGATAGATTCGAACATTGGTTAACAATTTTTCTATTACGACTAGTATTACAAATAAGCTAGAAATTATAACGATAAAGTCAATACTAAGTGAAAATCCCAAAATTAAATGTCAAAATTAAATGTTTTCAAAACCAAACTTGAATCAAAGTACCTTGCATTTATTTTATAACTTCAATGAATTTGGCATGGTAATGATGTCTCAATTTGAATGGATGTCGTTGCAATCCCGACAATTAGTACAGGAAACCCCATAATGCAATTCATTTTCAACTATAATTTAGATTCAGCGGATATACCATACCAATTAAAGTTCAGCGTATATTTATAAATTCACCCCCATTGTAACATTTTCCAATTGCAAACATTTACATTTTTTATTATTTATTTCTCTTTTCAACACACAAACAAAGGAAATGTTTTAATTGTCAGAGTTGAAAATGTTCCACTTTTTAGGTAACTCTCATTTGAATAAATTTATTTTTCTTGTGTGGTGAAAAACATCGACCGTCAATTCAGAAATTGTGTTTGTTATTTAGAAGTTATATTTGAAATTTAAATTTAAAATTTTTATTTAAAAAAATCCTGAAATTTGAAGCGTAAGTTCAGGAAAGTTTTAACTCGGTACTTATTTAGAAATTCAAAACATTTCAGGTAGGTCTGATTGATTAAATTAAAAAAAAAAAACAACTCTGAAACTAGAGATTTGTAAATTCAAGTTTACTAATAACAAATGCAACAAGTTTATTTGTTTATTTGACTCTATTCTCACAATATTTTAATTTAGGTTATCCTAATCGTGAAAAATGTATGGAACATCGCGGATTTTTCACACTTTCCAGTTGCTAATACGATTACAATTCTTTTTCCTCCCAAAACGCAAACAAAGCTTTAAATACGAATTAAATTTCAACAGCATTTGAAGATTTTCAAAATTATTTTGTTTATTTTTCAAAACAATACATACACATACAAAAACTGTATAAATGTTTTGACATTTTATTCAGCTGATTGCCAGGCTACTGGAAGGAAAAGAATACTTTTGTCAACGATTTGATAAAGTTTTTGCACCATTGTGATGTGACTCTCTCTGATTTCAAATCACAATTGTGTTTTTGACTGCAATTGGTTGTCAGATGGGCATTCTGACCGACCTTTTGTACCGTGCTTCCTTTCATTTAGTATTTGTAATAACGCTTAATATTCAGATAAATTAATATAAATTTTAGAATAACTTTTTTACAAATTGAAAACTTCTGCAGTTGTCGACACTGACAGTTTCCACAATTTTCCGTAGTTCATGGTTCACATGTACGATAACAACTATAAGAAGGACATCGGGGTCTCTTTAAGTTGGATACATTTCCACAGCCATAGTACCAACGGGGTTACTTTTGCTAAACATATTAAATCTGTTTGCGTTCTTAAACACAATCTGATCCACCCATATAATGGCCTCTTTCAGTTTTTGCCACATGCAGACTACTAGTTTTGTTTGTTTTGCGGAATTATAACATCTTGTGGCCAGTAGACCTATTTAATAGAGAAAAGTTTCGGGTAGATAATGTTGGAAATTCTTTTAGTTCACTCTAAGGTGACACATGTTCCTTCCCAATTTACGTGTGACGTTAACTTTAATACGCACAGTGTTTAATTTATGACTGATGCCAAGCTGAAAGTGTTAAGATTGGAACCATGGTACAATAAAGAGAAGGTAGGCCAACTTTGAAAAAATTGGAAGTATAGAGGTCTACCTGTCTGGCTTGTAATGTCAGAATTAGTATCAAAACAATGAAAAATCAAAGAACTTGTTGCATTTATTTTGAATAAATAATTGAAAACCGCGATAAATGAATGAAAGGTCAACACTTCATTTCAAAATCATGTATTGTATATCTCTAAGGATTATTTCGCTACAAAAACTGTAGATTTTGTCGATGCATACGTTGAAATAACATTTTGAAAACACCCGAATTTGAATATTTTCTGAACATTTTTTTTATTATTGAAAAGAAAACAAATACATAAACAAATAAAGATGACATATTAAGCCAAGAAAATAAAAAAAAATTAAAATCATATGGTATCATAGCCCTACCTTGATATCATTGTACCATGATTGGAACTACATTGTCAACGACCTATTTGGTTAAATTGCAAAAATATGTTTCCAAATTCGTAAGATTTTTTTTTTAATAATGCATTTTGAGTTAGAAATTAGAAACATAATAATTTTTTAGGTTGTAGAATACAAGAATAAATTACCTATCATTGTATTGTCGTCACATTTTGAACATACAAAAACCAAATGCACCCTTTGACGAAATAGCGACAGTCTTCTGAGAAAATATTTGAGGTCTGTACGTCGAATGAATATGAACGCAAACGAAACTCACCATTCCTATGTGTGTTTTCACAGATTTGATTTTTATTCAAGTAAAGAACAATTTAAAACACACATAAAAATGGTGTTTTTTTAGTCAATCATATTTCGGCCTCTGCAACCAAACACTTCTTCAGTTAAACATCGAAGCTTTCATTCATTACTTTTTAGACAATGCATTTAATTTTAAGGTGCAGTAGCTGTAGATTGAAATGTTGAAACATACACTTATACTCACTTTATTATTTAAAACAGAAGACACAAATGCTTCCTGTAGATTCTTGCTTCTGTGTACGCTACAAAAGGATATCTGGCAGAACCCTTAATATGCACATATATCTTGAAACCTAACATTATCATTTGTGCGTTCCCTTAGTTTTTGGGCAGCGAGGAAAGCATTCTTGAATATGAACCAAATCCAATAGTGAATAACAACTCTAGCCTAAATGTTCCCGGCAACACGAACCAAAGGCAAAATGGGGCTTTGGCTGATTTAATCAGAAGCCGTGACTTTGTTATAGATTTCCCCAGAATATTCGTTTTAGAGGCTGGCAGCAGTACCGGCCGGAGAGATTCAATGTTAAATCAAGATCTGCCCGAAAGATCTCAGTCATCAATAGGGTTTCCTCAAGCCAAAGATTGGGTGTATTCTGTGGCCAACAAACTGGAGGAGCAGCATGGCTTGAGGAGAGCCCGCAAATCAAGCCAAAGAACAGAAATGCAAGAGGTTACTATCACCTTTCCATTTGAAATGCATATCCACTTGAATTGCTCGCATATCATTACAGAATCTGTTAATGGTGCGCTACGATTCGGTTCGAACTAGACGTTCTCGCTCGGCAGAAGGCCGTTATTTCTTGCGGCCGCAAGAAAGTGACAAGGTCACCGATTCCGAAGGAGCCTGTGGTGGCTGTGATGATATACCATCCCTGAGTACTAGCCGTCGCAATAGCAGCACTTCTACTATTATGGTACAACCTACCCCATCCCAACTAAAATCTGACCTACTCAATAGTCGCATCAAGTCGAGAATAAGTCGACGAGGAAGTGTCAACGTTGCAGACAGCATCAAACCACAGTCGACTTCTTTGCAGACAGGAAGCCGCCTGGACTCGCCATCAAACAACAATATCAAAATACAAATAAATGATGACGACAGTTCCACTATGGACCTGCAGTGAAAAACGGAGCTGTGGAAGGACGATGGAAAGATCTCGCGATGTATATTGAATTTGAAAATCGAAGAAATTGTGTGTTTATCAGTTGCAGTCTCTCATCTGAAGTTTGGCTGTTGAGTTTAGTCCTTATCAGCGTATATATTAAGAATATTAACCAATCCATACACGCCTATGTGCAATCAATAAATGAAGTATATGTTACCTGTTTTTAATTATGAAATTATTATGGTACTTATGTGTAATTTCTTCACTCCTCTCGCGTAAATATTTATGTTCCAAGGCGTGGATATTTAAGTTGCAACTATTGACAACGAGGCCAAGAAATCCTTAAATAAAATAAAAATGTCGATATTGATATTGAGTCCACTTCCATTTTTTCCTAGTGAAATTGGTTGCTGGAAAGTTTTCAAAATACCGAAAACTCGATGTTTTCTGGATGTGCCGAACGGCAATAGAAAAATGTGAACCTATATGTAGACAATGAATTGCCAAAGGAGGAGGTACTGTTCCGTTATAAAATGTTGCATGTGACCCAGAAATATTTAAAATTTTAATAAATTTACTACCAGCATAGTTGCTGTCTTCCTCGGCCGGCAAAAAAATGAGAGAGCCGGATATGCGAAGTGGCCGGATCAGGTACAGAATTTCAGCGTTGCCACCCATCACTGTAAGTGGAATGAGGAATGCAACTATGTGGGGTGTAGGGATATGTAGGTGCGGTTCAAAGGAAAAATGAATAAATTGAGGAAAAATCCGCGAAAATTTTGGAAAGAGGGAAAACTGGCATCAGTTTGTGCCCTATAAAAAGGCGTAGCGGGGAAAATTTCGTTAATGCGTCTTGTTCTGTTGTGGAAAAATACCATTTGTCCGGGAAATAAGCCTCATCGTCAAAATAAAATAACAGTGGAATATTTATTGAATTTAATGTCAAATTGTGGTGTGTTGATTTGTGTTCATTTTGGACAATTTAATTTATGTGTACGTGCGAACAAAATAGTAGTAAGTAGAGTGAAAATTTTACAGAGGAAGGTTTGTGTTGTAATATGTGTTGTTTGTGTTTAGAAGTCGCGCCAACTATAGCCCCGAACAAAAACTATTGGCTCCTCCAGACTTCTTCCTGGAGGTGTTCAGTTTTGGCAAATCCGGAATTTCTGGAAACCCGCCAGGATAAACAGCTGCCCAATTTGTGTTTGAATTTGTTCCCGTGATTGTCTTGTTTGGCTGATGGAACTGGCCTTGTGTGAGTTGGCAGTAAAAACCATTTCTGATGTCTTTTGTCTAAAAGGAGAAAAAGTCGATAAGTACCGGCGATAAAAAGGTAAAATCACACATTTTTTTATACATACCTAACAAGCCGAGATTCTCCTGGACAAAAATTGGCAGTTGCCTCCAATGGCCGGTCAAAATTAAGCGCTAAAAACGTCTATGACGCGCTGACAAAAAAATCTGAAAATTTAACAAAAAAAGAAATAACATTAAATTTACATTGAATTGAGACATAAAAAAATCACAACAACAGAGACGGACAAAATAAGAGTAATTATATTTATGTTTTAATCTTAGATTAAGTGTGAACGTCCATTAATAGT